AAAAATCCTTTGCATGAAACGAGGAAGGCTTTTGACAAAGAGACCCATGGATCGTCTGGCGACATCACAACAACGCAGCTCCCTGAGAGTGAGGATCAAGTGGCTAGAAGGTCTCAATAGGGCGTTTGCACCGGCACCGATCACCAAGGGATGGATTCCTTCGCAGCATCCAGATCATTTTGCAACAACGTGAAGGCGCAGTGATCACTGCAGGTCCACCGTGTGGGTCTTTTGTGTTCATAAACTTGTGGACATCTCAACGCTCCCGACATCGCCCGATGGGGGGGTCAGCGTGAGTACGTCAAAGACGCCAACAAGATCTTTGACTGAATTTGGACCAGAAAAAGTAATCCAAGGTAGAAGCTGGGACACACTAGTCTTGATTGTTCTTGACCTGTTTGGGCCGACTCTGGGGCATCCAAGGATTACATGCAGGTTGTGCTTGCTCCTGCTGCTTGGGTTTGTGCGCTGTGTGGTCTGCCTGGTGGAGCAACCGGCATCATCGTTGATGCTACTGTTCCCGTACTTTCGCTGGCTGGTGAAAACCATTGGTTGCCATCTCCCATGGCTGACCACTAAATTGCCCTTTCCTTGGCTGTTCTGTTTGAATTCCAGTAATGCATCAACAGTTGAAAAGTCTAAAGCAAACAGACTTTTCTAACATTGAACGGGTTCTGCTCTAATAGCGGCTGCTGAGTCAAATGGCGGTATATGGACATGAAAATATGAAGCCGACGGTCGCCTTTGGGACAGCGTTGGGGCCTTGGTTCCCTGTGAGAGGCTTTCAAACAATTGAGTTTTGTGATATCTGGGCGACTGTTGCTGAGTCCTTGGTCCTACAAGCTCCGGAAGAAGGTGCCAGCCAAGGTGAAGAACCGTGTTCGTAAATCCAAAGCTATGGTACGAAAATACATCGATAAGGCTGGAAAAAAAAAGAGTGCAGCGGGCTTAGTTCCAGTGCGCAAATGAATCCTTTAAAAACCATATATTTGCCTAAGTAGGAACTACGGTAGCCGTAGGATATCCCGGAATCACCCCTCGTCGGATTCCCAGGTGTGGGAACTCCAAGCAGCTTCGGAAATCCCAAGTGTACCCATTGGGCTATGGCCGCGCCATTCGACGACTGCACATGCAGTGGATGGTCCCCTGGTAAGCAATATTGAGAGGTGGACACTTGCAACCTGGGAGGATTCAAAAAACCAACATCATCCCAGCTGCTTAGCCAGGACACGGAAGGCAATGTGGCACGTCTTCACGAAGCGATGTACCCACCTAGAGGTGGATTGAATGAGGAGCTGGTAGGGAAAGCCACACAGGCTGGTTTGGCAGGGGTTATATAGTTGGAACCACCACCCAATCAAATCAGTGTGTCCCAAAAGTTTTTTGTTGCCTTGATCATATATCATTGGGAGGCACCTTATCGTTGGCGCCATGCAGCACTTTCTGAGTTGCATGACTTCCTGGTCAGTGAACGCAAAGCCAAGCGTTATCACCCCGTGATCCTAGAAGGCCTTGAGTGAATCTCAAGCTATATCCCGGGAAAGGTCTTTTTGCAACCAATTCGGAATTGTGATTTCCACCCTGGTCTGCCCCTATCACTCATGTGAACTCAACATATGTTTCCTTAAACAGGGATTTAGAGCAACTCCCATATGTTTATGGTGATGATGGGGCTGGGACACCTGGTGGTGGGCATGAATGGCGGAGTCTATTTCTTGCTGGCTTGCTACAAGTCAGGCCAGCTCCACACAAGCATTTATGATGGAAAATGATGACCGTGAACGAACCGTGAATGAGCGTGAATAGACCGTGAATGGAGGTTATTAGCCGTGAAAGACCGTTATTATCCGTGAAAGACAAACACCCTAAAATCCACTAAAATCCTGTTAATTTCCAATCGTTTATTATGAGATCTATCAATTGAAGCCGTGTGGGCTGGATCCGACAAGGCCTCCGGTAGTTCTGTGGTTTGTCACCATGAAAGGGGGGCGATGAGTCGGGCGTAGATGGGATTTTGAAAAGAGCGGCCCTTCGGTCAAAGCGCGTGTCCACACATGACGAAAGCAATGAAGAGAGAGGAGCTCCAAAGGAACATGATCTGCCTGCCAGGACCTGCTCTAGTGTTTGGTGCAGTGTGGGGCCATTTTATGATAGTACCAGGAAACCTACACACGCATGTTTGTTCTGGAAGTTTCAAGATGAGAGAACTTGAGTATCAACACCCTGGGAGTCCAAGACCATTCAACATGTGGCCTTTAGGTGATCTGCAAAGGAATGTCCTTCAAATCATAACGGTTTTTCAATACTCAAACGCTTGTATGTGGAGCACATAGGTCAAAATCATCATCGGGCGCAAGCGTGGCCAGGACGGTGAAGAAAGACCAGAAGATGAAGCCCAAAGAGAAGCGTGTTCCCCCCAGAAGCAGGCTTGGTGGCATGGTACCAGTACTGAAAAATCAATTGCCACCTTCACTCCATCAACCCAGTTCTCAATCAGCTTGCTAGTATGATCCAAAGATAGATTAGTTGCCTATAAGCTGCTACTTCATGAGGCCTCACCCTTTTTTGTTTCCGATGCCAGATTCGGATGCTACAACTGTTCCAGCTTCGGCAGAAGAAGTGAAGAAGTTCAAATCAGGGATTGCGCATCATGTCCAGAAGACACCGACTCCCAGAGGCAAAGTGGTAGAGAATAAGAGCTCAGAACCAAAGATCAAGAAACAGATTCAAAGCAAGAGAATCCTAGAGGAGGATGAGGGGAAGAACGAAAAGAAGCCAGCTAGAACAGCAGTGAAGGCAAAGCCTCAGCCTCGGCAGCAACCTGATCAGGTTGCCAAGGCTGAGGTTGGAAGTGAGACTCCAAGAACCGCAAAGGCTGTTCAGGAGTGCCTGAAGCGGGCATCGACAGCTGACATTCTCCACAAGACACCAAAGACGGGCTCTACCACTACACCAAGTACAGCACCAAGACATGGCTCTGATGAACCGTGCAGCCCAGAATCTCAGAATTCTCGGGCTGAATCTGATGAGGAAAGCGCAGATGAGGAAGAGTGGGCTAAGAAAGCAGCGCAGGCAAGGGCCAAACGAGAAGCCCACGCAAGATTCATGCGCTTCTCCCGGTCGTTGAAGAGTATCTGGGCCAAATTTACTTTCTTCGGTCTCTTGCTACCATCGGCTGGTACTTCGGATCCAAAGAACCAATTCACATGGGCAATTTTCCTCTTGGCATGTGTTGGCCAGGGTCAGGGCCAGGGGTGGGGCCAACCACACATTCACTCCTAAAGCAATCCTCAAATGTGTCCTCACTTTCTGTTGGTTTTCTCATCGAAAAGGATCCACTTTTGCATATAAGCTGTGAACCAAAATCAGATTGGCCATCTTGGGAAATATGTGTACAATGTTTTGAGCGAGCTTGTTTGTGATGTTTCATGAACCAGTTTGTGGGAAGGGCAGGAACCAGTGTGGGAGGGGCAGCGGGCACCGTGTAAGGCAAGCGATCACCGGTGGAGATAAGGAGGGCCGGAAGAGCGGCGCACAGGGACAGCTCCAAACTCCAACTCTTGTTGGAGCAATGGACTCAATGTGATGGGGTTTGGGCTGAAAGCGACTTTGTGATAGAGTGCAGGCGCAAGACTCGTCACCGCCAGTATGGTGCCCGAGTTTGGCTCACGCGCAGTGAGCTGATCACAAAATACCAATCAGTGGCAGTGGCCGACTCCATCATAGAAGCCAAAGAACAGGACGAGGTGGCCAGCAGGGAGCAAATCCGGTTGCATCCGGATTTGCACGGAAGGAGCAGTGCAGATTCTTGAATTAAGATTTTCTGGCACATGTTTCTGGTTTTCATCTCCTGGCATTTGCACTGCCAAAATAATCACCACAAGCCTAATACGTGCTATAGTGCATATTTTCGATTTGGGTGGATCGATGATCTGAGAACATGTTAAAAGTTGAAAAACTAGTGGAACCTGGTGTAAGCTCGCCCCTTGAATGCAATGCCCATCTGTGACCCCCAGTTTCCTGCCTTGTCCTCCCAAGGAAACTCGACAGTATCTTGTATGGGAGAAGGACGGCGAGGAAGAGCAACCAGGCAAACAGACCATGTTTGCTCGGAGCTCTTCAGGGCCGCTGAGGGTGGTGACGACGAGAAAGACCGAGGACGATCCACGAAGCGAAAGGGCTCGAAGCGAGAGAAGGGGAGAAAAGCAGGAAAGAAGAGAAAAGCAAGTTCCTCTAGTGGTGAGAGTTCATCCAACCCCGGCTCAAGCAGCTCTACAGCTTCGTCGGACACAACTTCCAAGGCTGGGATTTCAGGGCCACCAGTTCACTGCAATCCTTGAATAAGACAACCCTGGAACTCCAAGACTATGTAGAAAATTGCCTTTAGGTGATCCGAAGAGGAACTTTCTTTACTCGTAAATATAGTACTAGTGTTTGGACTTCTAGGGGCAATGTCATGATCTGGGGATGGTCCAGACTCTTTTGGCACAAACTCAAGATAATTTCATGTCCCAACCTTGCAGAGTTCTGGTGGTTTTGGTGTTATGTCCTTCCTTGCTGGGTCTTGGGTGGACCTTGGAAAGAAGCACTCCTGAAAGTCAAACGGATATTCCAAAGCAACCAAACACACATCTTTGTTGAATTGCCTCCGGCCCGTCGTGGCAGGCAAAGGCCAAAAAAAGGCAAGCACAAGACTAGCAGCAAGAAGAAGGCTCAGGGTAAGAAGGGTTCCAAAAAGACAAAGAAGACAAAGAAGGCAAAAGACAAGTCTTCGGATTCGTCGAGTAGTGATGATGAGAAAAGTGATACCAAGAAACCAGAAACCGATGAGCAAAAGAAGAAAAGAGAAGAAAAAGAAGCAGAAGCAGAGAAGAAAAGACAACAGAAAGAAGCTGAAGCAGCACGAAAGAAAGAAGAGAAGGAGAAAATGTCAGACTTCAGGAAAGAATTGGCAAAGGGCAATAAGGCTGGAGCCTGGGTGGTGGTTTGGAAAGTGGTCAAGAGCATGTGGTAAACATAGTAATTAATGAGATGGATTATAGCACCATTCAATGATGCTACCATGGTTTATTATAGAAAGAAACCACTGAACACCTTTACAAGCAATTATTTGATCATATTTGATCCCAATCGTCCACAAACAACCCTGGCCGTTTGTTTTCTCCCAACTCTGCATGCCAGGCGCTCACGAGGATGGGGAACAGCATTGCGAAGGCCATGAGCTTGGAGGACAAACTCCATACGATGATCCTTGGCACAGGTGGCTGGACAGTCTTGGGGACTTTTTGGGATAAAACAGAGTCAACAACAAGTTTATCTAGTGTGGATCGATAGTTGAACCAAATATGTGCATTGATAACAATTTGGGTGGTCTCTTTGTGGTCTTTTGTTTGTCGAAACTGCTCAGGAGCAAATCTGTTTCAGAAGCCATCTTGGTGGAGGTCAAGCCCCACTTGGAAAAAACTTCGGAAGGTCAGAGGTGGTCTGCAAAAGGCTGTTGATGAAGCGAAGGCACTACGACCATACTATACTAATGTTAAGTCTGAACGACTTTGCATGCCAGAGATTGATTGTATGTTTGTCTTTGTTCAATGTTCACTCCAATGTCTTCATCTTCCAGGTAGAGAAATTGGGGAAGATGCCTACCATGATCACAAGTGCTGACGCGGTCTTGCAGGATTTTTTCAAATTTCCTTTCTGCGTACAACATCAAATGAGGTGTTGCTAGATAGAAGATCGATGGCCTTGGTCTTGATGTGTGCGCTTCATGCATCTTAGACACCAATGGTCGTTTCAATCCTGCCACCAGCCAGTGAGATGGTTTTGGTGTCCTGCACAAGCAACTGCAAACTAGTGGCACCTAAATGCGGTCCAGTGAATGTTGCCAGCCATTGTTTTGCCAGCACTTTATGATGTATACATGACATCATGATATTAATGATTGTTCTTCTTAGTTCAATGCATGATGGGTTTGGACAAATGGTGCTTACATCATGGGGGAAGTTGCAGCTGCAGGATTTCTTGGGGCAAACCATGGCAATCCGAAAACGGACTTGGAAAAATAGCGTACTGAACGAACTAAGCTTTTGCCATCTCCAGTTTTTTTGGTATCCTAGGTGGTATCGACACTTCTCGCATGCCCATATGATTTGGTGTTGGTCGAAGCCCAAGCCTGTCCCGCACAGGTGCTACATCAAGCTGCCAAGCTCCAGTCACGTTGGAGGGGCACTATGATGATGTTGCTGCAGGGGTATCTGGGATCAAATCCAGCGGCACCCAATATCCAATTGGTTTATGTCTTCAAGTAAAACCAGTCAAACGCCGCCACCCATCGTTGTTTTTTGACTGTGTAAATGTATACACAATCTTCTTCATCATCATCATTCTAGACTGGAAAGAGGCCAGAATGATATTTTTGGAGTGGGTTGGGAAAAAA